TTTCCACCTCTTGCACCCTCTCTTTTTCTTTTTATGAGTTTTGTTGAGAGCTCTTTGTTCATCTCTTGCTATCTTTTGTTTGATCTCCTGCTTATCAGGGTAGACCACTGTTGAGCCTGGGAAATCAACCAGCTCTCCTGGAGCCTTATTCTCTCCAGAACCATATTCTATGTCATTCACCCAAGCAGAGCAAGTCAAAGTCTGCTCATTTCATGTTCAGGTTTGTGTTCTGCTACTTGTCTTTCTCCTCTGAATATTCTGAACTCCACCCTCTTGTGTTTTCTGCAGCGAAGACAGTCTCTGACCTTCACAATTCTGACTAGGTCTTTGTGAAGCATGAAGTTTATGAGAGCATCTCCTTTCATCAGCCCCTCTTGCATTTTTATTAGGAAGTTATCATGACTGCACTGCAGAAGCCTGAATTTTTTAATTTCTGCTATTTTTGCCTTCCTCTTCCAGCAATTATCAAGATGATTGAAGTCACCCATGATGACCAGAGCCTGAAAATACACGGCTTTTCCAAATTACCTAAAGAAGGCCTCATCTAATTCTTCCTGATGAGGCAGTCTGTAGCAGACATGCACAGACAGTGTGGTCCATACTAATCACCCACTATCCATAAGTTCTCATGTGACCCATCATCCATCCCCAGCTGCTTTCTCATATTACCAACAAGTCCCACTCCTCACATTCCTGGTTTTTCCTTCCTAGTGGGGCTTCCATCCATTCATTGCAGCACTCCAGTCATACTGGATTTTTTTTTTGTTAAAAGTTATGCTCTCATTTAGATAAAGTTAATTGAGGAAATAGTGTAAGCTATGAAAATACTCAAATTGCATCATCACAACATTCTTCCAAATATTTAAGCAATGAATTATGAAATTGCAACAGGAAAGGGGGGAAGCCAATAACATCTAGATTCAGACCTCTGTCTATCTCTGTGGTTTGTTTTTTTTTATTCTACACAATGCATAAAAATTAATTAACTGAATGGACAAAAATGTCATTTGTTTTAGTATCACTAAGGAAGTGTTCCCCCTTTTTTATGACCTTTTTTACTACAGTGGTCAGAAAAGCATAAGCTTAATTAATTGATGCCAAATTGTATGACTTTGGATCATGAGAGGTAGACCCTATGGAATACCCATCCTGGAACATATCCCCTGGAATGTGGTGGAAATAAAACATATGTTGAAACAGAGCCTTTATAAGCCTTTCTGAAAAGGATAAATTGAGGATTATGAATTATCTATATACTAAATTGTGTCGGTGTGGTCTCTGCACCCTCTTAAACCTGACCTTTACTTCCTGTAACCCTGCTGATAACCCAACTGATAACCAGCAGTGGAGTCATAACAGCTGTGTCTGGTCGTGATGGCTGCATGCAGCTCAAAGTGGATTTGGGAGTAGATGGCTCCCAAAGCAGAGTAATAAATAGCCAAGGGCTGATTTGAGCAATGAGCCCACCTAACCACAGTGCTGGTTAAAGTCCAGCTCAAGCCAAGTTTGGAAGAAACTAACATCTGTAGCCAGTATGCCAATAAGACTATAAGTCAATCATCAGACTCCATAAATAGTGGATAGCCCAGGGCCTGCTGAGCTCTCCTGCACAGCAGCAGGCTGCATGTCAAGATCTCCCCTTGAGTAGGAACACTTCTCAAGGCTACTCCTTGAGGCTGAGAGAATCCTTATTGTGTCGGATACTCAATAAGCGAATTAGCTGAGATCTCAAAGGCTCAGTGAACTTGTTGCCAAGTGGATATGCTATTGTGCATGTACAATCCTTTACACACATACCAGTGACCAAGTATGGGACTAAGTCCTGATCCAGCTGCACCTAAACTCTCCTCTGAAAAAGAGTTGAGAACAAGGAAGTCCTTCCTGAACCTCATGACTCAGTGGGAGGGTCTCCATAGCAGTTTTGTCTGACCCTGTCCCCTCTGCAGTAAATAACCAAGTGTATTTTGCCATCAAATCTTGCTAAACCACTGTCACATTTGCTATTGAATTCTGTTATATCAATAAAATATATTCTTGCTTCTCCCTCATGAATGAATTGCATAAGTCCACATAAATATAAACCATTTTAAATTGTAGAAAATAAAACCAGACAGGGGTTGGGAGGCTACAGGGGGCACATTTTACATATTGTCACCTTTTCCTACCCTTTTCTAGGAATCCATTCATACCTAGTGGATAAACAAGACTCTTGCTCTGAACCAGTGTCAGGAATTTTTATGTTTCTATGACTTTTCAGAGTTGAAAGTTGAGAGTTCCAGGGGCTTATTCATATCCCATTTATGCCTGTTACAACTATGGAATGCTCAAAGGCTTCTAAAATTGAATCAGTGTCCTCTGGTATTCTTCAAAAAGTAAGAGGCAGCAAGGCAGCACACTGTCCATTACGACATTAATTTCATCTCAAAACCACCAACAATTCCCCACTCCTTCCCAACCATGAGTCCTATATGAGTATTTTTGCTTCCTTCATTTATGGATAACAGAAATTGAAGACTATTCAAAAGAATATTGAAAATATTTTCTGACATTCTAATTTAAACATATCAGCTTTCAATAAAGTTTTAAGAGATAAATTATGAGACAGCAAAAATTTTTAAATCTTAGGAATAACTAAGGAGAATGGAAACTGCAAGAAATTTAAAATGAGAGGTACAACAGGGCTTTTTCATATTTTTGAGAAAAGTACCACGATTTAAAAACCAGAAGTTAACTAAAAAGAATGGACACCCCACAAAAACACTGGCTTTTATATTTCGAATAAAAATCTTGTGCTTTTATCTAATCATTGCTAATACTTTGATGTGGAAAAACACCTTCCCAGGTTGAAAAACCAGTATGCTTTTATATTGCTTAAGAATGAAAGAGAAGGAGTTGAATTCTGTCACCTTATTTATGCTGTAAACATAGTGTGAGGATATTTAATGGAATTTGTGTATGGGATGCATCAGTGAAATGATGACAGGATCTGTTCCTTGAAAACATTTGTCTATGCTATATTTTGATTACGATTTTGTTGCTTGGTTCTCTTATTTAATAGACTTACGTGGAAATGCTGCTAACATTACCCTAAAGCAAGGCAAAGTTTTTTAAATCCCTAGGTGGTTAACTGACAGCAATGAAGGCTCAATTTTTCCTTTGTCCTCAGTGGAGATGAGCTGTCTGCAAAGCACATGTCCTTATGTGTCTTAGCAAAGGATGAAGATAATGCCCAGTTCCTTCACTAAAAAAAAAAAAAAAAATGCCAAGTTCCTTCACTGTGACAAAGACAGTAAGCCCGTGTTGTGACATCAGGGTGTTGTGGTACCTGAAAAGTTCACAAGGCATAATTCAAGCTACATCAGAAGGAAGTATTTAATCTACTGACCAAGTTCATCAGGGTGGCCAAAAATGTGACTCCCTGTAGAAGATGGATAAGACAGCTTAAGAAATGATACCAGAGAACTAGGAGAAAAAATCCCTGTACTTTTTAACAACAGGTAAAAGTTACAAGCAGTGAGATAATGGGAAACATTGCTGAAATACATATTTCACCCAAGGAAGCTGCTAGAGTAGTTTTTTCCTGCCTGCACATAAATACCTCACTGGAAAACTGTGAGTTTTTTGCACAAACACACTTGGGAATAGGTTAGATTTAATCATGAATATGAAAACAATATCAGTCTTGTAAAGACCTGGTCTTATCTCTATTTTATTGTATTTTTACAGGCACCAGAAATATTCAATATTTTCTTTGTATTGAATAAATTAATGAAAAAATTCTTATTCTCATTTCCAAGGATCTATTCAGCCTTTCTACTCCCTAAATTTCAATTTTTTATGTCCTCCAAACTTTTACAAACCCTCTTCCAAATAAACACATTGCTTGCCTTCCACCTGATAATTCTGTTTTCCTGTAGTAATCCCTACACATGAAACAACTCTCCACTTCTTGTGAAGCAAACATATCAAAATATCCCTTGAGAAAGCATAATTCAACAGAATCACTATTATCTGAGACTCATTTGTTATTTTAAAGGTCACAGTATTCCAGCCTGAATATAATTTATTAAAAAAAAAAAAGGAAAATAGAAGCAACTACGTTGTTGTGTTACCTAATAGGTCAGTTCACAAAAAGAATCTATTTCCTTTGATAATACAATTAGTGTTTAAAAGTATTGAATTTTCAGAATAAAGATTAAGATCAAATGTTTTCAACAAAGCACTAATACTGATGCTGGTACTGGTACTTTACGTACATGGCTTAAAACTGTTTCACAAAATATTTTTAAGTCCAGAAATCACAATAGTAAGACAGAATCTTACATTAACAGGGTGAAAATCTGTGTATGCCTGCATATGGATTTGGAGACTGTGCAGGAGACCATGCAAGAAAGAGAAAAAAGGTCGCCTTGGAGAGGAAAGGTTTTCTTTAAAACCTAAGATGTGCTGAGAGCATTAAACCATAAACTTTATAACCTTTCCTGCTGATTAAATTAAAAAGTCACTAGACTGATCTTTAATTAAAAAAAAAAATTAAAGAAACTGAAAAGGAAAATGTCAGCGGAAATGTACATACAGAAGAACACACAGACCAATGTGATTTTTGTTTTGTCCTTATCAGAAATTGAGGCTCCAAACAGACAGGTTTCAACACTGTCCATTACAGAGAGGCTTCATAAATGAAAAAAGATTGTACCAAAAGCATATTATCCCCTCTCTCCTTTAGTGGTGCATTTTCAGTATTGACCCTTTGAAAATATTAGGCCTTGACCTGGTTTCAGCTGAGATAATTTTCTTCTTAGTAGCTGTACTGTGCTGTGTTTAGAAATTACTATGAGAATAAAGTTGACAACACACTGAGCAGGGTTTACCCTAAGTCAAGTACTTTTCAGTGCCTCATGCTCTGACAGCAAGCAGGAGCACAAGAAGCCGTGAGAGAGCACAGCCGAGACAGATGATCTGAACTGGGCAAAGGGATATTCCATGTCAGAGAACATCATGCCCAGAATATAAACTGGGAGGAATTGACTGGGAGGTTCCAATTGCTCCGGGATGGTCTGGACGTCAATCAGCGAGTGGTAAGCAATTGTATTGTGCATAATTTGTGGGGTTTGGGGTTTTATTGTGTTCTCTATCTTTCATAATATTATCATTATTACTATCATTATTATACTTTCTTTTATTTCAATTATTAAGCCTTTCTTATCTCAAACCACGGGTTAACCCTTTTTCTGATTCTCCTCAACATACAACTGGGGTTTTGACTGTTTGAGATTTTCACATTAACTGTAATTTTCAGTCAAATTACTTCTTAATAAACATGATTACTTCATGTATATGAAATGAGAATGGCCATAGTGTAAGTGTAGTGTCAAGTATGCAACTTAATAATGTCAAGACATGTTTATAGCTTATGGAGAACAGGATATTTTAGTTTATGATTCATATGATCTATTTTGATATCTATGTTTGGCAAGGTGAATCACAACTAGGCATTTTCAGTTTCTCTTTATTACCTATAAAGGAAATCTAAAGTGATGACCTCAGATTTAGACCTTTATTGTACTTCAGCTATGTTTGGTTGTAATAATCACACCCTAAATGTCTACAGTTTTCACAAAAATACCTCAAATGGATCAGTTTCACAAACAACTCAGTATCAATAAACTCAAATGCTATAGCTGGAAATGGGTCAAAAAATAAAAAATAAATAAATTGACAGATAAATCCCATCCTGATGTTTCTCTTTCTTATAACAAAGAGGAGCTAATTCTATCTGCTTTAGCCATTAAACACGTCAGTGTGCCCCAGGAGCATAGGGAGAAAATCACACAGGTAGGCTAATGACTTTAAAGTTAATATTCAACAACTTAAACTCCACAATTAAAAACCATAATGATCACACCACTGCAACTAGATTTACAAATGAACTTGCAACCCTAAGATTACACACTGAAAAGCACGTAGTAAATGAGGAGCTGATCACCAGCTGAAGCTCCTGTCTGCCTTATACCCAGAATCCTACCCCCCCACACTGCTCAGTTCCTAAACAAGTTTATGTTTCTGACCATAATATCAATAACTCTGGAGCTGGAGAATGACCTACAAATGTGAAGGCAAAATGGCAAGATTACTCTTTTCTAAGACAAAGCTTTTGTCTATCTTGACCTCAAAACCCTGAGCCTGTGCTTCTCCTGGGAAAGAGCAGATATTGTCCTGATCTTAAATTGATTGTATTTGTCCTTACAAGGAATTTATAATAACACAAAATAAAAGTAATATTCTAAATGACACATTTAGAAAACTTCTACCTATGGCTGCATTTTATAACTAATTTCAGAAACCTGACAATGCAGCTTTTGACTCCTCTTGTTTCTGGGACAAAGAAGTATGTATTTGCATTCAATTTAATTTTTAAAAATGTTTCGGATTAAACACGAAAAGCTTGTAGATGCATAGAATTTTTATGAGGACTTCTAGAAAAATTAACCATTCAGGTACTAAAAACAATTTCTATATGTGTTATATGCTTGCATAATAAATATTTCTAAAAGAGATTTCCCAGAACCTTATTTTTTAGCCATTTTGAATAATAGTAATATGGAGCAAAACTCCAGTCCTCATTGATTTTAGGTATTCTGTCTGCTAAGTAAAACTGTGTTCTTTTGCAGTTTAAAGACCTTAATATACAACAGACTGAAGATTGACTCATAAATTCATGGAAATCCCACAAGCATTTCATAACTTCTTGCAGCAATGCAAGCTTTAGGATAAAGTGACTATTTCACAGGAGTTACAAAAGTCACCACTTGAACCACTTTTACGGTGAGGAACAAGTGGAATTTACCTTGGAATTTACTGAGGTGGGTCCTCCCCAGGACTTAATAAATCTCTGAAGTCTTTTCATTTGTCTTGTTTTGCTCCTGTATTAAGCACAGAAAGTGGTTATGCTAGGACAAACCTCCACACTACAACATGCTGAAACAAAGTATTTTGCAATGTGTGATTGCCCTGAATGACGACTTCCCCAGCTATTCCCAAAGTCACAGAATGGACCTATGGAAATTCAGGATATACACAAAAAATAACACAAAGGAGAAAGTGACCGTCTACTATAAGGTAATGACTACTATTTGTTCACTTTTCTTCCCTTTTCTAATGCATACCAGTTCAATAGTTTTCCTTTGAAAGTGAATAACCTACATAGTTGGTTTTCTGTAAGATACTTCTCTCTCCATTGTGCTATGCTCTTCTGCCTTGTATACATGCATGCCTGCACACACACATGGTTTCTATACTTAGACTGTACATTCTTGTTAGGCACAAGACTGACTTAAACTGAAAATCTAAATCTAATTAGGAAACAGAAATTAAGTATTCTTCTTCCTAAGTCTCTTGACAGGTCTGATTTAATAGTTATTCTAAGAACATGCTGCACTAGGGATTGGGTTGCCATCATTTATCATTTCTATTAATTGCATGCTGGTCAAACCTACATTTTGCAAAAGACTGCAGTAAACACAAGCAGCTGCAACAGTCTACAGTCTATAATGGACAGTGAGCTAAGGACTAAGTATATGTAAAGGACCTAAGGGTATGCTGGGAAGAATATAGATCTAATATTTGAGGTATCCAAGTTTAGGTTCTAGTTCCTATCTCAAGGATTTTTTTTGTTCACCCACTGAAGGTTTAATATAAAATTAATCAGTGCTATGAGCAGGGACTTCAAGCCTCAGTTTCAGCATCCTCATGTCAATGTTACAATTATAAAATATACACTAATTGTGTGTTCCTTTGCTGCATCCTTTATTGTTTGCTGAAATTGGAACACTGCACATTGGCAAAGCTTTAGCAGGAGCAGCATGTGTCTCCACTTTGAATAGCCACAGAGAGACAAGTTTTGACAACCTTAAGCAGATGAAGAAACAGAACCTGGATTTCCCATTGAGGTTTTTTCACCCCCCGCAGGCAGATAAGCTTGAAACTCAGCTGCTTGCTCACTTCCCCCAGGCCCAGTAGGATGGGGGAAGAGGAATGGAAGTATAACAGAAAGAAAACTTGGGGATCAAGATAAGCATTGCTTAATAAGTGAAGGAACAGTGGAAGAAGAGAGAAATAAAACAAGTAATGCAAAGGCAACCATTCCCAGCCAGACTGATGTCCAAGCAGTCTTTGAGCAAATGATGGCTAATGTTCCTAAACCCAGCTATGCTGCACGTTACTGCTGAGCATGACATTATATCGCATGGAGTATCTCTTTGGTTTGTTCAGGTCATCTGCCTGATTGTGTTCCTGCCCAAACTCTTGTGCATGCATGTGGTAGTTTGACTCCCGAAAAGGCCAATTTTCAAGCTCCCCACAATTTGCTTCAGTGTGAGAGAAGTTTTCAGACATACACAACTACCAACATGGGGGAACTATATAAAAATTTATTACTAACACAATAAACACTATTTTTTATATATATATATATATATATATACAACAATCCTAACTATCTCTCCTATGGTAAAACAATATATTTACATAAATCATCCTTCCTTCCCTCCATAAAAAGTTCAGGAGGAAAGAAGAAGAAGCCTTTTTCACTTAGGGCCACAGCTCTAATTCGCAGTAGTTGGAAAACTCTTCTCTCTTCTTCAGAATGCAGGGCAGTCTACCCCCACTTCTTGTCCCTCGGCCGTGATTACCGACGGTCTTACCATGGACTTTGGGGGAACACCTGTCTCACCATGTCTGCACCATGGAATACAAGTGGTTAAAGCTTAAAGTCTTTGTCCCCTGCTTCGTGGAGGTTCCTTCCACAGGAGTTTTTGAGGGGGGTCCCCTTAGTCTGAGGTTACCCCTCCTTTCCCGGGTCAAAAGGGTTCTGGGGGTTTTTGGTTCAAGTCCCTATCCCAAGAACTCTCCAGCAGATCTCGTTCTGTCTGCTCTGTCTCAGCTGGACACTGGTACCATCTGGGCCATTCCAGGTCCGCTCTGCTCCGCATTTTGCATGGTGCTGCCATTTCAGCGTCATGGCTGTGTGCCCTAGCCCATCCCGGGCTACTCTGTGGATGTGTCTTGCCACCACCTCTCCAGGGTCATGGCTATCGGTCCAACCCGCTCCAGGCCACCCCTCGGCCCGCACTGGCTTGGCTCCAGCACCGTGCCTGCCCACCAGGGGCCTGGCTCCAGCCCCCAGCTGGCCACTCAAGCCCCGCGCCATTGCCTCTCACTGGCAGTGGGGGGAAAAAACCCCGTAGCCTTTGGCCACAGCACCCAGTCCAGTTTTAACACCGCACCAGCGTCCCGCAGCCCGGCTGGGGGGAGGGGGAGGTGGACAGAGCACCCGTGAGGGGGCCCGCCAACCCCTCTGCTCTCTCTCATCTCATGGCATCCAACTTCCAACTGCTGCAGATTCTTTTTTCCGTTTTGTGTAATATGATAATTTTGCAGGGGTGTACTTGTGATGGTTTCAGTCTAGGCCTTCCTGGAAACCAGCTTGTAACCAGGAAGGAACTAGGAAGGTGACCAAGGAAGTATTCCATGCTATTCCTTTACGTAACCTAGGGTATAAATAAGGCATTGATAAGATAGTTCGGTCTCTTCTTTTCCGGCGAGGTTCGAGAACGGTGGGTCCCTGTCTCGGTCGGGCTTATCTGGAGCCGAGGCCTACAGTGACTGCTGTTATCTGCCACCCGTGAGGGGAGAGCCAAGGGCCAGGATGTCTAGCCAAGCAGGATGTCTAGCCATCCTGCCTGTTCGAAGGGAAGTGGTGAGATTTTTGCTAATTTGCCTTCGGCTGGTTGTTTGACTTGTGCGGTCCTTGCCCCTTTTTGTCCTTCTCCCTTCCCTTCCCCCCCTTCCCCCCCCCCCCGGTGTGTGGTATTCTCCTTTTGTGTATCTGTCTCATATATAAAACATATATATATATATATATATACATATTTTTGCTATAGCTTTGGCTGCTTGTTTCTTTTTTCTCTTTTCCCTCTCTGGGAGGCGGGTCCTCGTTGTCGAGTTTCGGGGGACTTGGCGGGAAGCCAGCTCGAAACTTGCACAGTACTACAGCTTTCTATTGGCTCTGCATTGGAAACTCACTTGGGATTAACCATTTTCCAGCCCCGAGGGAGGCTGGATGAGTCAAAATTATGACAATGCACCAGTCTGTTCACTGAGAGATGGACTGAGAAACAGAGATGGCCCTGACATCGTGCACACTGTTCGGCAAGAGCTAAAACACCCACGTAACCAACACTGTTTAAGCCACAAATCTAAAATGGCACGATATGAGCTGCTACGAAGAAAATTAACTACATCCTAGCCAAAGCCACTATGCCCATTTAAGTAAAAGCTTAGATAGCTGGCAATATGTAGGATGGAGAAAACAAAACTACCTGAACCCTTTGGAAGAAGAGAATAAGCCTGTAGCAATCCAACATCAACCATGGATTCTGAGGTAAAAGAGATGAATGAGTGTCAAGAGAAGAAACCTGTAGACTTTCAGGCCACTGTATTTTAGATATCCCTATTGATTTTTACTAGATTGACCATTCAGATAGCATTCCGGTATGCAAGAGAACTGGTATCTGACATAAATATTTGTAAATCAGGAAGTGAAATGAAAAATTTTTCATCTGATTTTATACATAACTGATTAGCAGAGTGTCAGTGACTGTAAGTGGAAACCATAAAACTGCAGTTAGCATATGGAATGACTGACATTAAAAAGTGAAAATTTCTATTACCAGATGTGCTTTCTAAGGTGTAAGGGCAAAGTTCTCAAATGAGGGACTTCACTACCTTCACTGAATCAAAGCTCCTACTTATGCCCCAGCTGTGAATGACAGGCAGGCACTGAGGGGTAGAGACCAACAGATGCTGTAAGGGTGAGGACCTAAGAAAGGCTGGAGGTGGAGAAGTCAGATGGCAAGATGAGTTACCTATCAAGAATGAATAAATTTTGTAATATCTCAAAAAACTTTAAAAGAAAGCTCTTATTACAAAATAAGTAGTCACATCGATTACTGCAACATTATTCATACATGACAAATTATCAGTAAGTTTTTTTATCGAGCTTTCAAAATCACATTTCTACAAATTACAATTCTGACAATTTTGAACAAAAGATTTCATCAGAATTTTTAGCTTGATTAGGCAAAAGCTGTCATCTTCCCCCTAATACTGAACTCTCTTTGACCTTCTTTAAGTCAACTCTTGACATGCAATGGTAGATCAGAATGTATTAAAAGTCACTATGGACCAGAGAGTCAGTATTCTGGCTGTAATCAGTATCTCCTTAGTGAAAGATTATGAAGTAATATTTTAAAGGTTACATTTGAGTGGATAATCTGCCTACCTATCCATCTTTCCAAAGGGAAAGTCACCATAATATATAGCAGACTCACATATTAAAGTATATCAGTAAAAACTAAAAATACATGAGGAAGGCTCAGACACTCCGTGTATTACAGATCATGTATTGAAGAAGACAGAAACTGAATGACTTGCCCGAGGCTGCACAGGAAGCCTGTGATAACTGAATCAAGGTTTGGCTATAATGCTTTTTTTCTACATTGTGAGTCCACTTGCAAATTCTTTGAGAGACAGAATGATTTCCTTGGGGACCCAGCCTACCTTCTGCCTCTCCAGACTGCCAGAGATGACCAGCTGCAGGAATCAGTACACCTCCTGGGAGACAGAGTGCTTGAGGGATTGGTACTTCCTCCAACTCAGTAAGAGATGGAATTAATGTGAATTAATGTGAAATATGAATGCAATCTGCTGGTCAGTGTGTCCATGTAACTCTCACAAACAAGGGTACACATTGTATAAACTTAAACAAAGACTTGATAACTTTCCTGATATTACTCCCTGCCAACTTTGCCTGATGATATGAAAAGCATAATATTATATGTTTATATTAACAGAAATACATATGTTATATATTTTAACAGAAAAAGATAAATTTACAGATTTATAACCAATATATAAAGTA